GAGAAAGAGGGATAGAGAGGGACTGAGAGAGACAGACGGACAGATAGATAGATAGATAGATAGATAGAGAGAGTTATATTACAAATTTATCACAGATACTGGTAAAGCGGGAAGAAAGGAGAAAGGAAGAGAGGACCAGAAAGAATGGGAAATGGAGGGAGGGAGAGCGGGAAAGAGAGAAGGAGAGTAGGAGGGAGGGAGAGGGACGCAGAGAGAGAAAGAAATATATAGACAGAAAGAAGGATAGAGAGATTGTCAGACGTAGTGTTACAGGAATCGATTTATGACAGATGCTGGTAAAAAGGGCGGGATTGAAAGGGAGAGAAGGAATGGAGGGAGAGGAGGAAGAAGGGAGAGGGAAGAAAGCAGGGAGATGGAAGGAGAGGAAAGGGAGGAGGGAGAAGGAGAAAAAAGAGAAAGGAGGAGAGTAAATGAGGGAGAGAGACAGAGTGTGGGAGAGAGACAGACGTACAATATAGATGGATAGATAGATAGATAAATAGCCAGGCAAAGAACACAGGAACCAATTTATGACAAATACTGGTAAAGCGGGAGGGAAGGAGAAAGGGAAGGAGGGAAAGGGAGAGGGAAGGAGAAAGGGAAGGAGGGAAAGAGAGAGTGAGAGAAAGGGAAGGGAGGAAGAGGAAGAAAAAGGGAAGAAGGGAAGAAGGAGAGAGAGGGAAGGAGGGAGGAAAAGAAGAGGGAAGGAAGGAGGAAAAGGAGGAGAAGTAAGAAGAGAAAGCCAGATATAGATAGCCAGACGAAGGTGTTACAAGAATCAATTCATCACAAATACTATTAAGGCAGAAGGGAAGGGAGGAGGTGGGAGAGAGGGAGATATACCGATAGACAGAGAGATAGATTGGTAGACTGATAGACTCTGTCTGTCTGTCTCTGTCTCTGTTTGTCTGTCTGTCTGTCTGTCTCCGTCTCTGTCTTTGTTTCTGTCTGTCTGTCTCTGTCTCTGTCTGCCTGTCTGTCTGTCTCCATCTCTGTCTTCGTCTCTTTCTGTCTGTCTATCTGTCTCTATCTCCGTCTCCGTCTCTGTCTCCGTCTCCGTCTCTGTCTGTCTGTCTGCATTCTCGCCCCTGCCTCTGTCCCTCCTCCTTCCCTCTATCGCTCTCGCAATAACAACATCAGGTCGTTCAAATCAAGGGACATGTCGGTGATGTTGTTAATTAGCGCTGTGTATGGCCTCACCTGCTCCCTATTGACCGCGGTGAAGAGTCTAACAGCTGGGCAAGGCATCTTTTGTGATGGGAACTGGGCGTGAGGGCGTGAGGGCGTGAGAGAGGCGTGAGAGAGGCGTGAGGAAGGTACGAGGAAGAGTAGTGGGTTAAGACTGAAAATGGGAAGGGGGGGGGGTTAATAAGGGGAAGGAGAAAAAGTTTAGCGACGAATGAAAATTCCGAGTACTATTCCGAAAATATTTACCTGGTGGACAGAGCTTTGACTTCTCTGGGCTTGAACCCATTCTGTAATTGACTATTACTGGCACTCTTATAGTAATAAAATATAGGAATCCCATCATTCTGATACCCAGAGTTAATTCGTAAAACTATTTGAATTACTTGTCAGTAACTATTAGAAGAATTAATCCTACCATTAGACATGTCATCTGGTGGCAGTGAGATAGAGCACATTGACGCAAAGACAAAACCAGACATCAAACGCTCCAACCAAGGGTCATCTGTGTATACAATAGTGCAAGCATGAGTGTCATGATTCGTGATAAGTCATGTTCCCCGTTGTCAAAGGGAGAGATACCCATTGTGTCGGGACAGAAACACCCACAGAAGGTTATCTGCAGAAATGAGCTTGTATAAGACAAGATAATTAAACAGCAAGGTGCAGCAAGAATGGTAAGGTCACTGCAACGCCATGCTGGAACGGCTGTGCTATCACTTTTTTTTTTTAGCTCAAACAAATTGTTTCCCGTTAACAGCATTCTAAGATTGCTGTGTCGTGACACAAGCAAATTCAAAGTATATATATATTTTTTTTCTATAGCCAGTAATGCCATCGTCATACTCTACTCTCTCAACCTTTCTGAAGCAGAGCCTAAGGATAATCTGAAATCGATATCCACAAAGATGCAGGACCACCAAACATACCCTTTCACGACCATTCGTACTCGCAATGCGTGCCCTTCTTCTGCGGGTCATGTTCCGTCAGCCTTTATAGTCCGGCACTTTGTCCATGAGTGGCTTTTAGCATAAATCACACCCATATTCAGGGCTAGAGATCCCTAAACTACAGAAACTTTACACCGTTTAGGACGCATTGTTCAACGATATATTTTAGGCCAGTTTGAAGTACTAGATATATGTAGTATTGACTAGCAGCTACTGACTTCTGGTGGATTAATTCATTGCCGATTTACTGTGGCATCAGAGAACCCCTTCAGTGCAACACCTACCCGGGCAAGATCCTAATGATGGGTGGCTTACATAAGAGGAAAATGTGCACTGGGGGTTTGCCTTTTACCCTTCATTTTATATATCAGCGGTCTATTGCCGCACATTACCCAAACTATTTGATCTTTTTTGGTTTTCACTGCTTTTGTATAAAGGAATGTCTGTTATCGGCGCAAAGACGATCGATGTACTAGGCAGGCAAAACTACTCACGAGTCACACCCATACATTCCGCGATACAACTCTCACAATGGCCATACTCCACGTGTGCCTTGTGGCCATATTTCAGCGAATATGAAGCGGACCATGAAGCACAAACATAAACAACAGGTTCTACCTAGCTTTACGAACAGACAATGTGCGATCTCTCCTCAGCTATTTTCACTACGTTGTGACACATTCCAAGTTCCTCACAATGGTGCTAGTAAATTGAAGGTTATACAGAACAAAGCACCAGATCATATACAGTATAGCTGCTTGGAAAATGCATTTATCTTGATTCTGAAAAAGGGTTAACTTATTCCCAGAAGACAAAAATCTAGACGATAAGCTAAATACTGTACAACCAAGAACACCTTACACCTGCGAGCGTACAGTCAACGGAAGTGAAAGGCTGCAGATGTCAAGGACTCGTATGACGTCAAGGTCCATACAAGGAAGGCCAAAACACTCACCGACTCATTAGCGATATCGTGAACGGTGCAGTCCAGCGTGGCAGTGGCACCCCGGAACACGCTGCTGGAAGAGGCATTGGTGGCACCGAAGTGAGGGAAGGGCTCGTGCTCGGTGCCAGGTCCTCCTTCCCCCGTGTCCTCAGCATCCTCAACATCCTCCTCGTCCTCGCGGCCTTCCTCTTGCGCTGAGTCTGCGGCTGATGCTGGACGGGGAGGGGCGGAGGGCGAGGGAGGGGTTGGGGGCAGGTCGGCCAGAGGAGGGCGAGGGAGGAGCGGAGACGAAGGGGAAGAGACGGAGGGAGAGGTAGATAAAGGGGAAATCGAAGAGGAGGAAATGGCGAAAGGCAAGGAAGAAGAGGAAGGAGAGGGGGAGGAAGATTGATCCTGGCGAATGGGGATAATCGAAAGGTAATATTTGGTGAAGTTGAACGTGGCCTCTGGAGGGCTCGGGGAGGAAGGCGATAAAGATGGGGATGAAGAGGAGAGAGGAAAGAACGCATCAGGAGACAAAGAGGAGTTGAGAGGGAACGGAGTGAGGATGGGCAGCGTCTCGGCGCAGACCTGGCCTGGAAGATAAGTAACGGCCAAAGTCATTAAAAATTATCTTTAGGGTATTTCGTTGCGAAGATGTGGAATTATTTTCACCTTTTTGGTCTAAAGCTTTGTCTAATTTTGTCTGTCGCCTTAGCTACTATGTTAATGATGCTCGTTGCTTTGCTTACTTAGCTTTTGACTCTCTTGCACATTCCCTGCGCGTTTCTTCCTTTCTCTCCCCTCTCTTTTTTTCTTCTACTCTTTCTCTCTCTCTCTCTCTCTCTCTCTCTCTCTCTCTCTCTCTCTCTTTCTCTCTCTCTCTCTCTCTCTCTCTCTTCCTCCCTCCTTCCCTCCCTCCCTCCCTCCCTCCCTCCCTTCCTCCCTCCCTTCCTCCCTCCCTCCCTTCCTCCCTCCCTCCCTCCCTTCCTCCTTTCCTCCGCCCCCCCTCCCGCCTCCCCTTCTCACCTTCTCTATTCTCCTCTCTCTCTCTTCTTCCATTCTCTTCTTCCTTTGTCCCTTTGTTCCAGACTTTAATTGAACACTACACTGCACTCTACACTGCGACACTTTGCATACACTTTCACACGAAGGCAAACTTATGCTCACTTCCCAAAGGTTAAAATGAGCTTGTGACATATCTTCCACAATGTCGCTTTAATTTCGTTCGAACATTTGTCTTCAGTGACGCCTTCTTTGTGTTCACGTCTTATATATATTTTTTTATTTC